TTTCATGTTCTTGATCACCATATTGAGTTTCCAATAAGGAATTTTCTTGATCAAAATAAACATTTTGAGTACCCCAAGAGACAATTAAAGGAGAATGAGGAATAGTAGTAAAAACATTAGATTTTGCCCAATAAGAATCTTCAAAAGTAGCGTGAAGAGTACTTAAAGATTCTTTATGTAATCTTAAAATATATAAATCACCATTAGAATGATTACTTTTAATTCTTGCGAAACCACCAACATCATCGAAAGAAATGATATGAATAGCATGACCAACTTTTCTTAAAGTATGAGCAAGATTTCCATCGACAGTAATTTCACCTTGAAAAGCCAATTCACCAACATTTACAGGAATTATCCAAATCTCATTATTTAAATGATTTTGAGTTATTCTTAAATGAATAGGTAAAGTAGAAAAAATTAATTTAAGACCGGTTATAGTAGTATAATTACCTAAAGCTATAAAAGAAGTTTTATAAGGTAAAAGACATCTCATAGAAAATTTTTGTTCACGTCTTTGACCTTCCTTATAAGCAACAAAAACCTGAAACATAGGGGTTTGATGATCATTAAAATTTCGAAAAAAAGAAAATAAAACTTCATCACCAGGTTTTACGTTTTTCATCATAGATTTTCTTTGAAGATTGAAAACATTATTTATAGAAGTGGAGATATTTGGATTTTTAACACGTTCAGTTCTAGTGAATAAATCAGAAAAACTTCTTATAAAATGAATTCCTAAACGTAATTCACGGATACGAGAAGACATGTAACCGTATTCACGAATACATGCAGAATAATCGTAAGAAGTATAACCATCACTATTAAATTAAAGGTTAAATTAAGTTAAATTATATTATAAATGTTGATAGAATAGATAAATAAAAAGAAATTTACATATCGCCTAAAGTTCCCCAATTTGTTCCACCGTATGCCATATAGATTGATGACATAGTGCAACCCTGAGCTAGTACGGATTCATAGGCAGTGCGTGTAAAAGTATCACCATAATAATTATAG